AATAAGATCCTGCTGGTTTTTATTGGTATAATAACCACTTAAATTATACTTTGTTTATAAATTAACCTAGAGCAAGTAATTAATACCTGGGGGAGCAAACAGCTGTGCATATCCCTCTATCAGTGTTATAGAGGGCAGACAACTTATGAGCTTACCCTGTATAAGATTAATACAGAGTAAAACTTATTTATTTGAGGTTTGGATCCTATTGGGAGCTGGGTATCTTGGTACTAGAGACAGGAGCACTTCTTAAGCTGTTTTCATTTAAGTCTGCGGCTTTCAGGTGTGTGGTTCAGACCCTGGGTCTGTGTTGGAGCAGACTGGCGTATCTGGCTCAACAAGGCAGGGTTCTGGAGGCCCAAGCTGGCAGAGAAAACAAGTTAGAGGTAGTCTCAGCACATCAGGTGACAGTCCCATCTCAGTTCACGTAGGCCTTCAGATGATTTTTGGTCCCTGTTGACCTGGGCTGGTTCTGAAGTGACGACATGGAGATGTTACCTGGCTCCACGCTCTATTACCAATCCTAGAGAGGGCAGACAATCTTTCACTGGCAGGGGTATAGATGAGATGGCCTAACAGTGTAATCCCTATGATTACATTCAGATTACATTGCCTCTGAGTCTCTGCTCTGATTGCAGACCTAATACAAACTGTCCATGGAGATTCAAATACATTTCTCCAAGTTTCAGTACAGCCTGTGGATGTGAGCCATGGCTCTGGACACTTACTACTGAATTGACATGGCACCATTCAAGCCCCACCTGGGCAGTTTGGCTTATTCCCCAACTGAATGAGACAACACTATTATGCTTCTAGACTCCAAAGCTAGAAGCACTTAGAGCAGAAGGAAATGTGAATGAGGAGGGAAATAAAAAGAATGAGAGAGACAATTGCAGAAGAACTTGAGTAGAGTGTACTAATGAAGGATGGGAAGAAAGGGGGGAAAAAACCCAGCTGGGGAGAAGAGGGCAGAGACAATAATGCAGGGAGCGAAACACAGAAGAGGAAGCAGAAAACAGAAAGTAAGGTAGAAAAAACGAGAGGAAATCTTGCAGGAACAGGGAATCATAGTGAAGAGGGGCTGCTTCCAGAAAAGCAAATTCCCATGTCATGAAGAAACAGCAGTGAGAGGAAGGTCCAAATCAGCTCAGCATTGCGGACAGTAAGTGTGGTCTGGAGGATAAGGCCCTGGGAGTCATGGCAGCAGAGTTTTCTTTCCAGCTCTGCCAGTGACCTGCTGTGTCTGTGTGACTGTAAGTTAGTGTGCCAGCATTTTCCCTCACACCTTTTGTCTTAGGCCCCTGTTTAAGTCAGTGGGACTACTGACAAGCTTAGGGTTAAGCATATTATCAAGAGCTTTGCTGGATCAGAGACTTAGACTGTGAACAGGTAAGGGCAGGGATTGTCTCTCACTCAGTATTTGTTTGTACAGTGCCTCGTACAAAAATGCACCAGCGTCGGTTGGGGCCCTAGCGGCTACTGTAATACCAATAATAGCCTTTGCTCTTAAATGTTAACCCCTTGTTTTTCATCACTGACAGGCCCTGCACCACTAGGATCCAGTTCAGAAAGGAACCCCTCCCTTCAGAAAGAATTCCAACTCTTTTTCGGACTCCATAATTAGTAGTTTCCAGAGAGGGTTTATTTTCTTTGTGTTGCTTAAACAAAGACTCAGTGAACACTCATGCCACAGTAATAAGATTTACCAGGGTGGATTTAATTCTGAAGGCTGACAAGGATGTATGTCTTCTGGAAACCACATAACGTTCTGATGGGTCTTGGCTGCTGCTATGGCTAGCTAACTCTCATTTTACATGCAGACCACAGGGATGGATTCTTTCAGAAGGCTCTTTGGCTGCATTTCTACCACTTGGAAACCAGAAGTGAATACATTTAGTAGTAAAGACATATTGTTATGATGGAAGTGCTGATTCTGTGGCTGACGCTAGGCCTATTTAGCTAGACATTAGAGGATTTGGAACAGGGACAACCGACATTCAAGTCTGATTCAGAGCAGAGAGTAAAGCTGGCACTGCAGAAGATGATGATACCTGTGGGTAGCTCTAAAAGAGTAAAACAGTTGCCTTGTGATGACTTTGCATATACACATACATGGCCAAGAATCTTCCTAGTGATTTGGGTGCTCAATCTGAGACACCTTAAATGGGCTTAAATGCTAAGTCCTCTGAAAATTAGGTGTCTTTAAGGAAAAAGAAAAAGAGTACTTGTGGCACCTTAGAGACTAACCGATTTATTTGAGCATAAGCTTTTGTGAGCTACAGCTCACTTCATCGGACGCTCAAATTGGGTACCCCAAATGATTAGTCTCTTCTGAAAATCTAGTTCCTATAGATGTAACACCAGCTGCTGTAATGAGTCTGCCAGAGTGATGGGATTTGGATGTCGAAGCAAGACACAAGGAAAACAATGGCAGGGGTTACACTTTATGAAGTACTAATACTGTAGGAATCTTAACCAAATAAAGAAAAATCCCATGTGTTATGAACACTGAATAAAGCTGATGCTGCCCTTTCTTCATCTTCATAAATGATGCCAGATTTCCTTTTCCTCGATTCCTACTGTGAAGGCTCTTTGCTCTGAGTAAAAAGAAAAGGAGTACTTGTGGCACCTTAGAGACTAACCAATTTATTTGAGCATGAGCTTTCGTGAGCCAACTCCTTTTCTTTTTGCGAATACAGACTAACACGGCTGTTCCTCTGAAACCTGCTCTGAGTAGACAGGGTAAGGTTAATGGGAGGATTTATTTCAAAAGCTTTTGCAATTAATCTTGTGTTCTGTGCCTAGTCAAAGATTGCGTTTTGATGGCACCATATGACACAACACGAGAGTGACCTTGTGGGATGCATTACCTGAAGATGAGTCAGCTCTTTCCCTACAACCAACTACTTTGGAAGAGAAGTGTGCACTGCAGAAAATCCACCCCTCTTTCCTTCAAATAACCCTGAAGGGGAACATCTGAGAAAACAATAACTGGTCTTTTTTTACTAGATGAGGCCCTCTTTCTTGAGGGATTTATTAATCTATTGCCACATATGACTTATGATTTTTTTTATTACTCTTCTCTAGAAAATGAACACAAAATGGGCCAGATTCAACTAGTGCAACTATATTCTCTTTGGTGGAGTTACACCAGTGATTAATGTGATTCTACCCTTAGGTACAGTTAAATATGTATACTATTAACTGGTTTAATAAGCAGGCTTTGGGCCAAATTCTCTGCTGGTGTAAAATGCACAAAACTCTGTTGAAGGCAATGGAGCTGCACCCAATAAAAAATATGGTCTGGCCCACTGACTTCTTGTTTCAGTTCATTGCAGAATATGTACCTCATGGGACAACACATCTAGCCAGGGACAGCTTTCGGCACAGTCTGACTTGGCAGCTGTTACGTTCTAGGGAGGCACATGAGGTGGCCCTGCTTTTGATGATGACAATGAATCCTTCTGCCAGCCCAACCTGAAGTGCTTGCTCCCTTCAGGTGCTCCTCTTCTCCTACTCAGGTTCACGTTGCACACACCAGGAGCACAGAGACACGTGGGAAGAGTAAATGGCTGCTGGGAAGAGTGTTGTCCATGTGTTATAATAATTAAGATGTGTGGATGTTGCTGCCGTTCTGTGGGGGAAAATAGTGAGGGACGTTGCTTGGTGAGAGGACAGACAGCTATCCGCTAGGATTGCCACGACTGATTCCCCGGAAGGGGTGAAGAAGAGCAGCTGTCTGTTTCCCCATTGGAAGAGAAAAAGGATGTGGTGTTGGATTCCCAAATTTCCTGGTGGAAAGGAGGAACCTGCTGATAGGCTCCTCCCAGAAGAGATTCCCATTGTGGTATGATAGAGCCCCAGTGACAAGCTAAGCCCCCCACAGAAGACATAAGCTCTGTATACCCTGCCTGTAGGTAAATGATCAGGGTGACATGACATGAACACATAGAAAGACAAGGTTCCTGCAGCAGAGTCCAGAATCAAAGCAGTGGAACTTGGGTGGGAACCTGGGGGTTAGGGGAGAACCGGGGCATGCTGGGGTCACACGGAGGAGGAAATGAAATAATGATACCATCCCTGCCCATCCTGGCTAATAGCAGGTCCTGAAAGGATCAACGAAAAATGCAGCCTTCCAGTATCCCATTACGCAACTTTTGGCAGGTAAACATTTGTTTTTTTCCCTGGCACACGTCACACTTGGGGACCTGGTTTTGTTGCCATCTTTTGGCAGGGAAACTTTGTGTACCTGATTCTGTCAGACTACAGATGAGATTCAAACCAATCATTTGGGTGATGTGATCCAAGGTCAGAGATGACTCTGAAAACAAATCTTTTTTCCAAGGGAGCCCAGAGACAAACAAATAATTTGATTTTGCAAACAGAGTGAATTATTTATTCTCCACAACAATAAATATCCAAGATGCAAAATAGTCCAAAACATCCTGAACTGCTCTTTGCACTCTTCTTGGGGTCTCTGCAGCTCAGAGTATGCTGGATGCAGTTTGCCTAGTCAGATTGCTGACTTTTAGCCACGAAGCAAAGGAGAATTTAATCTTCCACTAGTCTCTTCTCCAGTCTCGTACAGATCCAGGCACTCCCCACAGCCTTACACCTAACCCTTCCCACTCCCATTGGGGCCAACAGGGGGTGGGGAGGAAATCTGCTCTCCCCGTAGGATTGCTATCACTCACTTCATTGCCATGCAGGTTAGGGACCATGCCTGATTTCCCCCACCCCCTTCCTTCACGCCGGTGTAAATCAGGAGTAACTCTATTGAAATACGGCAGGAGCAGGAAGGAATCTCATTGCGTTGAGAGCAGAATGGGGCCCGGGGACAGGGAGAAGGAAGGGGGCAGAAGGAGGCTCGTTCGATTTCGCAGGTGTCATTGGCCCTTGCAGAGAGAAGGGCGGTTGCATGCCCGGCCCCATCTGTGGATCTATTGGGTAAGGCAGCTGCCAGCGTGACGGGGACTCAGATTTCCTCCTTTACATAGGCAATTACAGCAAAACCTTTCGGGGATTTTTCCGAGACGGCTGCGGAAGGAGGGTCGCTCGGTCCGGGTGGCTCGCTGGGAAAACCCCAGCTTCGTTCGGAGCACTGAAAAGAGAGGGCGACACAGCCTTTGCACGCTTTCCCTTTGACGCGGTCTCAGCCAGGTAAGAGAAGTGCTGAAATTATCCCTCAATCCTGGCCCCGAACCTCCCCGTTTCTCTCGGTCTCTTCTTCTTCGCCCTGCCCCACCTAGCCAGCCAAATCTGCAGTGGTTTGGGGTGGTCTCGCTCTGCGTGTTCAAGCTACGTTTCCGTTTGCTTCGGCGAAAGGAAAGCCGCCTCCCACTGCCATTGCCCGGTGATTGCATGAGATTTGCAGCGTGAAATGCGGGCGGTAACACGATCCCTGCCTGTTCACACTGCGTGGATCGCGGGCACTAAATGCACGTATCTGCACCCCACCCCCCCCCGCACCCAGTTCAGTGAGCGCCATAGGCTGAGACCACTGTGAGGCAGGCCGGTCGCTGTGGCTATTTAGCTGCTTTTTGGTTTGCTTAAAGATAAAGCGGGGACCCCCCCCCCCCCAGCGCCATGCGCTGTTAAGTGGGGAAATACTCGAGAGCATCGTGTGGCGGCGGCACGGAGTCGGCATCGCGGACGCCTCCCTGCGGAATGGGCGGCCTTGCCTGGTTTTCTCGGGCGACGCTCGCCCCGCTGGGCCTGCCCCGGGCGGGGCCTTGCGGCACCTTGCCGCGGAGAGGTGCTGTTCGAGGGGGGCCGATCGCTGCGGGGTGCGGGGGGGAGGCCGGGTCCATTCATTACCTCGCTGGCTGCGGAGACAAATGGCGCTTCCCCTGCAGCACAAGCAGAGAGGCGGCGGCGCAGGGTAGAGCCCGGTGGGTTCTAGAACTCGGCCCGGGGAGTTCCAAATTCGGGGGGGGGGTTCCAGACATCTGGCCGCTCCTGTGCTGACCCCTGTCGATGGGGAGGGGAGAGAAATAGCAGGATGGGGGCGCGTTCCCGCCTCCTTACAGCAAGGCAGTTGGACCGGGGGTGGGTCCGTTCCGTGCAGCGAGCACAGGCCGTGCAGTTGCCAGCCCTTCCCTTTAGAGTCTTGTCCTTGGGGCTTGCGCTTTTGCCGTCTTCCAGTGTGCAGCGGGTAACCAAAGTAGCCTCCTCTACTCACAGCCCCCGGCTCTAAAAAAAAGTCAGTCCACTGTCCAGCCCCCAGGATCGGATTCCCACCCGCCCTGTTTATTTATGGTTTGCACGATCACTCACAACTGTCTGGGTGTCCCCCCTGGCAGTCTCATCCTCCAGTCAATGCAATTGAAGATTTGGAAAACGGTCTTGATAACGGACCAGCCCTAGCATAAAATCAGCTCACCGGCACTTGGCGTGGATGCTGAAATCTAAGAATAATACTCGGTTTAACCCCCAGCAAAGAGGTAATTGTGGTTTAAGGAGGTTGCGCGATTGAGTCAGTGAAAGTAGATTGTAAATGCTGGTTCCTAACCTGCATAGTTTGTGTGCCAGCAGAACCTGGCTGCTGCTCTGGGTATCTGCCCCCAGATTAGACCCTTGGCAAAAGGTGTTTACTGGCAGTACTACTGTAGAAAAGAGCCAGATACCACATCGTGCAAAAAGGACTCAGTCAGGGCACCAAAAAAGGGGAGAAATTTGAACATTTTTTTTAAAAAAAGTTAGTTTTGGGCTTTTCTGGGTTTGTATTAGTCAGGGAAAGGGAAATGAAACCTGCTTTTCTCTCATTTGTCTCCTTCCTTGCAAATAAGCATGCTGCATTGTAGGAAGAACAGTTATTTTTATTGCTGTAATTCTCATAGCTCTCCAACTTTATATAATGATTTATGCTGCCTCCCTGGGTAATCACTGTTCTCTTGGAGTGTGGCATAGCTTCACTGTTGACTTAGGCGACAGAGCATCTCTTTTTTTCAGGAGCAGCTCAGTTGGTAATCCAGGATCCATTTCTCAGAACTGTAAAAGGATTTAGACTCAGGACTTGAATTTCCACTGTCACATTTAAATTAAAAAAAAAACCCCACAACTGTTCAGTCCAAAGGGTAGAAAAATATAGATTTGAGTTAATAAAAGGCATTGTTTAAAGAAGGTGTTTCGTTTAAGCTGCCCTGAGAAACATCAGGTTTAGAAGCACAAGCATCTGAGAATCAAAGTTAGGAATTTGGGTTCCGATAACATAAATCAGCGCTTGAAATTCTGGAACACAGTCTGCCTGCCATTGTAGCAAGCAACTTCTAAAAATACCTGCTTGCTATGTGCCCTGTTAACTTGTTTAAATGCCTTCAGGAAAAGCAGCTACTTGATTCCAGTCTCAGCAGTGGCAGCAGTCTGCCAGTAACCTTTTATCCTCTAGATTAATTCCCCAGAAATACAGCTGAAGAGAACACTCTTACTAACCTATATGCTATAGTGGACCTCTTCTCTATTGTTTTCTTGCCCATTTTTGTTTCCTTTTAATTCTCTCCCTTCTATTTTCTATCCTAGTCTATTCTGTTTTGTTCTCTCTTTATTAAGCCTAACTTTTATTGTCACCACACGGACTGGCTCTTATTAGTGTTACAGGCCATAGCAGCATTCTTGTTTTGCATTATCTCTTTGTTCCTTCCTATCCGTTCCCTCTCCCCTTCTCCATCCTTCCGTCTTGCTTCTCTTCCCACCTCTTTGCTGTCTCTTAGGGCTTGTCTACACTTACCGGCGATCGATGCATTAGTGGTCGATTTAGTGGGTCTAGTGAAGACCCACTAAATTGACTGCAGATTGCTCTCTCATCGATTCCTGTACTCCACGAGAAGAGTAAGGGGAGTCAATGGGAGGGCATGTCCCGTCGACATCGCATAGTATGGACCCTGTGGAAAGTAGATCTAAGCTATGTTGATTTGTGTTATGCTATTCATGCAACTCAAATTGCGTAGCTTAAATCAAATTTCCCCTGTAGTGTAGACCAGACCTTAGTTTTCTCCCTTCCTCTTTCCGTGGGCCCAGCTGACACCCTGCTGCTCTATGGAATGAGGAGAGCCCACACACCCAAAAGACAAGAAAGGCAGGGCTCTGTAAGGGGAGCATGCTGCAGTTCCCCAAAGAGGTATTGCATTGAGAACCTCCTTCCCCCAAATTTATTGGAGGTCATGGTGGATTCTTCATCATGGCAATGTTTAAATCAAGATCAGAGGTTTTTCTACACAATTTGTTCTAGGAATTATTTTGGGGAAGTTCTATGGCCTGTGTTGTTCAGGAGGGCAGATTGGCCTTGGAATCTATGAGTCTATGTTGGGAGCTCAAGCAAGAAGCTCTTTGAGGAACCTTTGTCCTAGACCTTACCAGAGAGGCAAGAGCTCCTCTCTCTACCGCCAGTGTTGGGCTGTGCCATCCTTCCCTGCCAGAATAAATCAGGTCCAAATAACCCCATCCCACTGTAAAACCTGAGGGAGAGAGTAAGGGGGAGGAAGAGAACCTGGCAGAGTTTCCCCTACCTTGTTTCACTGGGGACATGTGGGCAGTCCTCTCTATGAACAGACCATGATCCAGAGGAGTTGGAGCCATTTGCATTTTTCCACACCAGCTCTGGCCTCCTAACCACCGCTCCTCACTCACATTGAGTCTCCAATGGCGCTCTCCTGTCAGGAACACGTCAGCTGCCCCCAGGGCTCTCCTTAAAGCGGGAAAGGATGGTTCCCTCACTGCTCTGGGGGCTCAGTGGAAATGTAAGGCAACCCCACTGGCTCTACTAACTACCTCTGGAAGTCCACAGAGATGGTGGGAGCACAGTTGTGTCTGCTCCCGCTGCTGCTCATTCCCCATCTTCTCTCCATTTACCAATGCAGAGAGCGCTCCACGGGGACTTGTGGGGACATAGGGGGGGAGGACTGCTGCACTGACAGCTACCCTTCCCCTTTCTCCATAGGATAAGAGAGAGTTGCATGTGAAGGGTCCTTAGGGCATGACCTAGTTCTCAGTGTGGTTGTTCCATGGGGAAGATACCGCTCAAAACTAAGGCTCTGATCCTGCAAACAGCTGTGCATCTGCTTAACTTTATGTATGTGAGTAGTTCCATTGACTTTAATTGGACTATTCATGTGGTTAACGTTAAGCACGTGCTTTCTTACTTGGAAGATCAAGGTCGTATGGAATGCTTAAAAATAGTTGTTCAGGTGTAATCAATAGCTTCGTTGAAATGCTCAAAACCTAAAATAATTGCAGATTATTTGTACATATAGGCTAGAAACGTATATTGAAGTTGGTCAATTCTTTCTTTCTTTCTTTCTTTGTAAAAATGTAAAGCCTCTTTAAATTAATCTGCGCCTGTTATTTATTGCGTACGCAAGAGGATAGGAAGGTAATAGTTTATGCTCTTTTTCTTGGTCTAGGAAAACGCAGATTTTTTCCACACAAGATGTTATTCCCCCCTTATTACTATTAAATATTCAACAATTTCCTTTCGGTTGCTAGTTAGTTTTTAATCACTTTTGTGGCTGTTGGCAAACGCTCAAAGCAAGGTCACTTATCTTCTTTGCACATATATATTTGTGCAGTGTCTTAACCCTTTGCAGACATATACACACATATATATATATATACACACACACACACACACATCTCTCTCTCTCTAGCATATTTTTTTGGGTAGCAGCCTGGAAAATTCCACTATTCCAAGAATAAAAGTCATCATGTGACAGCTTGACCTACTGTGGAATTTTTGTTTGATTGTATGTTCATAAGATTACATTCAGTAGCTACTTTCATAAATGCAAATGTGTATAATTTACCTGATTAATGTAGAGTTCCACTTAAAAAGAGTGGCTATCATCTACAGAAATCTGAGGTGGGCTTTCACTTTAGATACATGAAGAATACCTTATTGTCCCACCACCTTCTTTTCCCTAGCAGTGATGTGTTGTCAAACCACCTTGCTGTATTTTTAAATACAAACAAATGTGTCTTGTAAACAGTGACACTGCAGTCATATGCTGTGGCAGAATAAAGGTTGAGTTCCAGTATCTTTTGTTTATCCCCCCAATTGTCAGTTTTGTATACAAGTCTGGAGACGGATTAGCTTTCGAGAGATGAATTTGATGGAAAATGAATCTTAAATTGTTACTTGAGCTTTAGAATAGTGCTCTTATTCATGCTGCAGTATTATGAGAGCTAAGCATAGCGAACGCTTGTGTTCCTCTTCCATCAAATCCACACTTGGAAGTGAATCCCAAAGTAACTCCCTGTATTTCAGTTTTGTCATGCTGTACAAAAGGATGTTAATGTACTGAAAAGGTAAGTGAAAGTGACAAATGGAAAATAATAGTCCATCTCTGTGACCCAGGATATTACTGAAAGGATGGGATGGTATAGGGTGATATGGAGAGGAATAATAAACTTCAGCTATTTGGACATCTGTCTTCTTTACAATCTGTAATCTAGCTACTTGTTGAAATGACCATTTTAACACTTTAGGCCAAAATCATTCACGATGTAACTCTAAATTGGCTTATTACAAATTACTTCACAGCATGTTTGACTTTCATCACTTACCTATACAAATGGTAAGAGTAAACATTCCTTTCACCAGCCAAGAATTGTATTCAAGATAAGCTAAGGACAGCAAGGGAGGTTTCCTGTCCAGCCTTCATTTCTCTGAGCTGTGAACAAGTGTAACGAGCACCACCAGAAAGCACACCGTATAGCTATTTCCAGCAAAATGACTGCTTACAGAATTTCCTATGATTGTCGGTTTGGCAAGCACAGAGTTTTGTCTAGGGTGTTTTGTTAAATAACCTTGCACATCTCCTTATACAGAAGTATTTCAAATGCTGAAGATAAAAGTGTGATCAGAATATACCTATAATTAGTGACATTACAGCACACTGTTGGCAACAGGCCAAATATACAGTATCTCTAATGTAACTGTTGTCCTTCGTTCCTTGATTATGTTAAGGCAGTTTCTTGTATTATTCAATAGAATCTGCCTTGAGCCTGTCTGTTTTTAATCCCTCCACGTTAACATATACCAGAAGTCAGCAACCTTTCAGGAGTGGTGTGCCGAGTCTTCATTTATTCACTTTTTAATTTAAGGTTTCGCGTGCCAGTAATACATTTTAACATTTTTTAGAAGGTCTCTCTCTATAAGTCTCTCTATTATAAAACTAAACTGTTGTTGTATGTAAAATAAACAAGGTTTTCAAAATGTTTAAGAAGCTTCATTTAAAATTAAATTAAAATACTGATTTTATGCCACCGGCCCGCTCAGCCCGCTGCCAGCCTGGGGTTCCATTCACCAAGGCCGGCAGCAGGCTGAGCGGGGCCTGCAGCCGGGACCCCAGCTGGGAAGGGGCCGGCAGCCAGAACCCCAGACCAGCAGCGGGCTGAGTGGGGCCGGCGACCGGGACCCCAGACCGGCAGTGGACTGAGCAGCTCTGGGGTTCTGTCTGCCGACTCCTGCCAGCCAGGGTTCTAGCTGCCGGCCCCGCTCAGCCCATTGCCGGTCTGGGATCCCGGCCCTGCCCCCATAGAGTGGGTACCTACCTTCTCCCTGGTTCTAGCCCATTCTCTTCCTCTCTCTCTCTCTGCACTGAGCTGAGGGTGGGGGTGCACTGAGCACAGGGCTGGGGGTTGGGGCGCAAGGTCTGGCCAGTAGCTAGAATGAGGGAGGTGGCTCAGGTTGGATGTGGAGTGCTTACCTGGGCAGCTCCCATTTGGTGCGAGGGGTGCAGGAGCTCCTATTTGGTGCTCAGGGTGGGGGTGGGAATGTGGGGGGTGCAAGAGTCAGGGCATGGGATGGGGGGGCTGGGTATGTGTGGGGGTGCAGGAGTCAGGGCAGGGTGTATGTGAGGAGGGTGCAGGAGTCAGGGCATGGGGTTGGGGGGCTGGGTATGTAAGGGGGCTGGAGTCAGGGCTGGGGTTGTGGGGGGTGCAGGGGTCAGGGCAGAGGGCTGGGGGTGTGGGCTAGGGTTGTGGGGGTGCTCCCAGAGTGGCTCACGGCAGGGGGCTGGAGGGGATATGCCCTGATTCCACCCCACTTCCCCAAGGCCCTGTCCCCACCTTGTCTCTGCCTCCTCCCTGGAGCAGCAAGCATGCTATGGCTCTGCTTCTCCCTCTCCCTGGCAAGGGCCATCAGCTGATGGTGGCAGGGAGGGAGAGGAAGAGGGGCAGGAACCCAGCACGCTGGGGGAAGAGGCAGGGGAGGGGGAATTTTCCTGCCCTGCAGCAGCAGCCAGCAGGACCAAGCTTCTTCACACTGCCCCCTGGGACGGGGGGGGGAAGAGGAGGGGCGGAGAAGAGTGGGTCAGGGTGGGCAGGATTTTTAATGGCACACTGCTGCCTGCCAGGTTCCCGGTCCTGGCCCCGCTCAGCCTGCTGCCGGCCTGGGTTCAGCAGTGGGCTGTGCAGGGCCGGCAGCTGGGACTCGGCAGGCAGCAGCATGCCATTAAAAATCAGCTCACGTGTCATCTTTGGCACACGTGCCATAGATTGCCAACCCCTGACATGTACGTTAAATAAAATGTTATGGGTAACTGAGATATACTTTAGCTGTCCAGTTTTTCCTTTTATTATCTCTCAGAATCATCCATTGGGGTTTTTTTTTTTATTCTGAGATAATGACTGTCCTGTTTGATTTGGGAAGTGGTCTGGGCCCCAAGAGATACATGAAAACAGGTGGGAACTTGGTGTTATTCGAGAAATCTAATGTAAACATCAAGTAGCACAGAACTCCAGAGGGGACAAATTATAAAGAGTGCACTTGGGCAAAGTTATCTGTGAAAAGAGTGTGTGTGAGTTCATAGAAACACTTTAAAGAGGATTGTTAAATGAATTAATACAAAACAAAACAACTGTAGCTTCCAGAAGAAGAGGGAGAGTTATGATTCAGTTTACTGATCTGTTCTGGAAAATATTGATCAGATATTTGCCGGAACTGGACATCCTGTACTTTTATGTGCTGACAACTAGATAAAGTGGAATTCTGTATATTTTTACTTTGTCATTTTAGTCTGATATTCTTTACTTCCCTATAGAGCAACAATGCAAGCTTTTCAGCAATTGCATTATTAAGGTAATTTATAATACGCTCACTCTCATTACATTACCTTGTGAGTTATGGTGGTTTTCTCTGAGCAACCAAGCAATAAAGTCATTGCCACTAATGTTCATTTTATTACAGTTGGTGGTCAGCAGCCAAATGATCAGCTAAAGTGTATCATCCAATGCCTTGTTTTGGTCTATTTCAACACTATATATTTAAACTCCATCTATGGGCTAGTCTGAGTAAAAGGTTATTTCTCAGTGAATCCTGCAGATGGATCTTTCCAGGTGCTTCTAGGCAATGCAGCCCACAATTAATGATCTCTGATGGTGAAAATGTTTCTTGGGTGGTACAACTTGAATTTTCCCTTTCTGTATTTCTTGTTTCCTGACCAGTTCTCTCATTGTCCTTGAAGACATTCCGGAAGCTGCATATTGATCTTTCATTCACTGCAAAGCTCTGTGGAATCAAGTTATGTCAACAGCTGCTTTAATTAATTTGGTTAGAAATGGAGGGTATCAAGTGAGAAGGAGAGCGCTGCTGACATCCCGCCTCTTGCAAGACGACAAACGCTTGACTGCCGTGTGCCAGAGCTCCACCACAGAACGCAGGGCTTCCCGCTTTGATCCAGACGGCAGTGGGCGTCCAGCCACATGGGACACCTTTGGGATCTGGGACAATCGCATTGATGAGCCCATACTCCTCCCACCCAGCATAAAGTATGGGAAACTGATTCCCCAAATCAGTCTGGCCAAGGTGGGCTGCGCAAGCCAGATTGGAAAGCGGAAGGAAAATGAGGACCGGTTTGATTATGCTCAGCTGACAGATGATGTCCTGTATTTTGCAGTGTACGATGGGCATGGTGGGGCTGCTGCAGCTGATTTCTGTGCTAAGTACATGGAAGAGTACATTCAGTACGTAAGCTAGGGTTTGATGCCTGGCATTTGTTTTATTATTTGCATTACTACTAGTGCCTAGTAGGTTGGGGCCCCCTTGTCCACGGTGCTGTATGAACACATAGTAAGACACAGTTCCCTGCCCTGAAGAGCTTACAGTTCAAATGGACAAGACAGAGAGCAGGAGAAGGTAAATATGATTATCCCTAGTTTAGAGCTAGGGGACTGCAGCACAGAGAGACTAAGTGAGTTGTCCACCATCACACAGGGTAATTTTGATCATTGAAATATAAAACTTGCTGGCACTTCTGTCTCACTGTTGGCCTCTTGTTTCTGGAGTCAGGCAGGATTCCCTGGTGCCGGAACAGTGTCAGAGACTGGATGCTGCCGTGATGAGCAATTTGTTTTTTTACCTTTCTGAAGTATAGAAAAATCAGGTCCTGTGGGCACTCCTAGCAATTAGCAGAGGGTAGGTAGTGCTTCCCTCCTCTATTCGCCTCAGATGAAACTTCCCCTGTACAATGGAACAGCACACGGCTTAAGTGGTCGTAGTCCTTACATGGATCCTCTGCACTGGGGAGGGTGGGATTTTACCCACCAGCCCCAGTCTATTCAAACCCATTGAATTCACTGGGAATTGAAGGTGCTCAGCATCCTCCAGGATTGAGCCTGCCAAGAGCATGTGGGAGTTCCAGGTTGCAATGCCTGCAGTACGGGTGCAAGGCATACCACTTGCACCACTCCGTTTTTGCATAATTAAGGTGGCTTAAACGAAGGCTGCACACTTTCTATATAAACCAGAATTAGGCAACGATTAAAAATCACCAATCCTTCGATCCCTCCTATCAGAAGGACAGGGGAGAATGCTAATGGCTTCCTGTTACCCCAAAAGGATGATACAGTGTGATTCAACTTTAGTAGTGGGAAGACAAGCCTGTGGAAATTGCTGTCAATGGAGTGGTATCTTTGTGGAAGAAGTTGAACCTGTCTTTATTTTGTTTTCAGAGAATTCCTTTCTCAGGAGAAGAATTTGGAAACTGTGTTGAGCAAAGCTTTTCTAGAAATAGACAAAGCATTTGCGAGGCATGCTCACTTATCTGTTGATGGTAGGTAGAACGACTGTATTCGACTTTGCAGCGGTGGGGGAAATGGTTTTAGAAATAGCTGCTCTTAGAATACAAGTGTTTTGTATTAATGAAATATGTTTGATATTGAAAGCAATTTTATTTAACACAAGGATTTGCTTTGAGCATTACTTGCAAATGAAACAACCGGCATCAGTCACGCTTGAGCACTTCAAAATGAAATATGAAAATCCTCTCTGAAATTTATCTGGGGATCTGATATGAGGCTGAACTTTTGTCACACATTCCACTGAGTTTTTATCCTAAAGGGATACTGTCAGGTAGATTATTTACCAAATGTAATAGATGCTACAATGGTTCAAATTTGGTATATATTTAAACACGCTATGAAGAGAAATTCACTCAGTCACCAATTTTTTTTAAAAAATGCTGTTAATTCTGTGGGTTTTAGAAGAAACAGTGTCTAAATGTTCCCTCTTGGCTCTGCTGCTGCAGTTAAGTAACAAACTAGGCTCAGAGAGATTAATATGATAGATACTACTGCTATACAAATAAATAAATTAAATAATGTAGCTATGCTTGCAAAGAGAAAGGAACATAGTCAGTAGGAAAAAGTATGCCCCAGATCCTCCGCTATGGTTGAGGAGCCTGCTGCATGCCTCAGGACGACTTGTGTATAAAGGTGGCATTAAGCAATTTTGGTATTCCCTTAATCTTGGGCTGGCTGTGTGGTGAGTTATTTCACTAGCATATGTTTATGCTGATTGCCACCGGCCCAAGGGGCTGTTAGAACTTCTGGAGCTTGCAGGAGCACAGGGAAATTGGCCCTGAGAAGTGGGTATCACCAAAGGGCTCTGATAGTGGGGTGTTACTCCTGTGGCTGGCTAAGCCCATTTTACAGCGATGTTGTACTGCTGATAGCATTGACAGAAATGTTTTCTGGCATTAAAAAAATGCCAGCACACGCTTTTGGTTTGGATTTAAATATTCCCCATTGCTGTGTTGTCTAAAACTAGAAAGTGAAACTGACTGACCGAGTTTTTGTTCAAACTGAAGTATAAAAAGTAAACAGCATAAATGGATAAATAGAGACCCATTTAAAAAACAATGTTAATAAGCTAAGGTGGTATTTACTTATTTAAAAGTGATTTTTAACCTGACTGAAGAAGCAATACAAAATAATTGGCATTACCTTTTTAGTAACCTCTGATTATTAGAAACTGACTTTGGGGAGTGAGATGAAGAATTAAGTTGCATATTTGAATTGTGAAGTTAGTTTTTACTGAGGGGGTCTGAAATGCAGCAGTAAGAATGAGTCTGCCTCACACCCACCTGAATGATCTAAAGTGCTTCCATAGGAATGGCTTATCTTGAAGGCCCCTTGTTTTATTTGTCAAACTCTGCTCATAAAAGAGTTTGTTTAGAGTGACCCATTTCAGTGCAAGTTTATTGTGTTCACAGCAGCTCCATGAGGAGAAAGTGTAATGAGAGAAAATATTGGTACTTAAAATATCATTTTGTTATGCTGAAGATAGTTACAACATTTAGTACTTGGGTCTTATTGAATTAGCTAAAGAGACTCTCTAATTGACAAGCTGTGCAGTAAGGGTGAGCTTTCAAAATGCTGTCTGGGATTTTACCTTGCAATTTTCACCATCTTTAACAGGAGCAACATGGCTAGACCACTATGCACTTCTCTGAAAATGCCCCCATTAACTTATTAGGAACCTGATGCTAATGCTTTGAGAACAGCTAAACAAATGCAGTTCCGAGACACTGGGTAAAACCTTTTCACTAATACAGCTCAAGAAAATATGAAAATTAAGCAGAGGTATGTTAGTTTTCATGAGTAATTTCATAAAATCATTAAAATGCAGGGCTGGAGGTTGAGCAGGTTATCAAGTCCAGCCCCCTGTGCTGAGGCAGAACCAAGTTAATCTAGACCATCTCTGACAGGTTGTTTGTCCAACCTGTTCTTAAAAACCTCCAATGACGGGGATTCCACAACCTCTCTTGGAAACTGATTCCAGAGCTTTAACTACCCTTATAGTTAGAAGGTTTTTCCTAATATCTAACCTAAATCTCCTTTGCTGCAGATTAAGTCTATTGCTTCTTGTCCTACTCTCAGTGGACATGGAACCCCTCTGTAAAGACAGTCATCAGGAAGTGGTATCCAGATGTGAAAGGGCCTCATTCTGCAGGGTGCTGAGTTCCTCCTTTGAGATATTGACTGCCCTCAAGTTGTTGTAGAAGCTAGTAGGAGCTGAAGGCCCTCAGCACTCTTTGCCAGGTGCTGAGCAGTCCCTGAAATCAGGCCATAAAGGAGTGGAGTAATGGGATGTAAAGACGTAGACCGATACCAGTTTATTAATATAATTAACTCTTTGCATGTGTGGTGTTAGAAACTGTAAATATTTTTGAGACTGTTTGTGTTTGCAACGTTAAATACAATTGAACTGTTTTGCATGTATCCTCATCAGAAACTTAACTTTGCACTGTCGGGACAGTTGGTTAGCAAAGCTACAGATTATTTTTGGCTATTCTAGATGTGATAGAGGCAAGAGTGTCACCAAAGCTTCTTGGAAATTATAGACCTGGAATACTGGCTGCTCAAGACATACGTGATGGCACCCAAGCCAGGTCTTCCTGTTTAAATCCTGCCTCATCCTGCGTATTGGAAAACAAGGGTTCAGTTAAATGTTTCTGATAGGTGACTCCATCTGTTGATTCCTTGGGCTGGTGGTCTGTACTTCTAATTTTTTTTTTTTTTTTTTTAAAGTACAGTGGATTTTTAGGATGACTGAGGCCTTGATACTGCTAAAACCTGCAAACTGGTCAATGGAATTCCACATACTTAAAATGTATGTATGAAAGTTTGCAGGATCATGGCCTCACTGGCCAAATCTGTCACTAAAACAGTAGATAATATGGGAAAAATGGAGTTTTTTAAGTTGCTGTTTAAAGATGATCAACTTAATTATGGCAGAAATTGAACAGGTCTTACAATTTGTGCATTCTTCTGGGAACTGTGGTTCTTATTTTGAATCACTCCTTCCGGTGCTAAAATACTTAAAAAATATATAAAGTAACGCTTACATCAAGTTTCCAGTGTAAAAAAAGCTACACATTCAACACTACAGTGCTGTGTCTTCTGTGCAGCACCTAAACAGATGGGTTTTATGGGCTCTTTAGGAAACATAGGATTTGCCACACTGGACTGTGGTCCATCTAGTACAGTATCCTGTCTCTGACTGGGGCAGTACCAGATTTTTCAGAGTTCCAGAAACCTCAGTCGGCACATGTAGGATAATCTGCCCTCCACCTTAGGTCTCCTTCTAATCCCTAACAGAGTTTGATTTAAACCCTGAAGGTTTAATATCTCTTCCAAAAATGTATACCAGCATTAACTGTTATAACTGGAGGTTCTTACTGTCCATATACACATCCAATCCCTTTTTGAATCTTGCAAAGATTTTGTCCTTTTTAAATTTCAGTTCAGAGCAAGGTGCAATTAATGCAACAAGCTCCTTCTCCCACTAATTTGGATCAAGGACCATGTTCCTACAAGCATGTACAACTTCAAAGTTTGTTACATTTCTGATATCTCGACAGTATATTTCTTAAAATGTTAAAAAGCTGCATTTTTCACCCCATATCAGTGGCCCAGAGCTGAATAAATACAAACTTTTTGAAGAACTGAAGCAGTACTAGTTACCTTCCTAATGATGGAGTTTTTCTTTTTCTTTTTTTCCTTTTGGCCTTGTTGCTTTGAGGATAAATCCAGGGTCCTGCAGCTTTCCCTATCCCCACAGCTCCTCTCTCTGCCTTACATCCTCCCACCTGGACTACTCTGCTGGCCCTGAAGGGACGCTCTCCCAGCCCCCAGCTGAGAGACCCTGATTTAGCATGTGAGGGAAGATTGATCATTTTTGCACATTCTCAACCTTATAGAGGACTAGTGCTATACGTCCCAAGTTTCTTGATGAAAACACTGCCACCAGCTCTCCTGACTTGGCCTAGGACAGCCATGTAAGGTGCCGCTACGGCTTCAGTTTATTGAAAGCCTAATCCAATACATATTGAAGACCATAGGAATTTTTCCATTGACTTCAGTGCTCATTGTATCAGACCCTAATCACACTGGCCGTTCATATCTGGAATAGCCATTTTATTGAACAAGGTTGGTTACTAGTTGATGTATTTGTGTATGTTTGGGGCACTCTTGAAATCTTATGCTGTGCAAATACTGAAGGGCTTTTTCTATAAAGAGAATACTAATTTTTTTTTTAAAGTTACCATTCAAAAACATGACTATTCTTTTAATATGTTAACCTGCAACACTGAGGAAAAGGGAGAGCTGCTGAAATATATATCTAATATAGCCATCAGCCTAAAAAGGTTCAGTCTTGGTAATGGTACTTGGTTATTATCTAATCAAGTTAGAAGACGCTTACTCTAAATATTTCCTTAAGTTTTTATCCACATTCAGTGTTCAATGGGTCATGACGAGCCATGAATCTATCTCCAATGGCTATAAAGCTGTTTATTTTTAGCAGTCAGTTTCTTGGAACCTTTTTGTTTAGAAATGAAGATTGTAAACAGGTTGATCCATATACTGTACTTGAAGTGGTCACCCCAATACTGTTACCGAAATACTTTGTGGCTTTTGTTTAGGCTGAAGCTACAACAGAGGTGACGCACAGCTGTGGTGAAAGTGTAAGGAGGAAAATCATTGAGAAAAGTGAACATATTTGAGACCGTGTATGTCTTTAGACAAGATTGAGCCATGGTCAAATTGGACTTCATGCATTGTCATAAGACTTATCAATTCTGTCACACCACTCGTGAAAAGAAGAGCAGGCAAACCCAAAGTGAACATTTCCCCTTGCTTTGCAGCTCTTATTCTGTCATCCCCAGTGTTGCAGGTTTGTTTTGTCTGAACAAAATCCCTGGGTGAATTTCCTATTTGCCTCTGTGTACGTGTTATTTGTGGCAGAGACTGTACCTGGTCAGCAGTTCTAGAACTGGAGGCCCTGGACACTATATGCTGGGCTTCAGTGGAAAAAGAGATCTGCTTAATTTTGTCTCAGGTGAAGGAGTCCGGCGGTTCCTAGCCTGGACTACTGGAAGGTTCCCACATCCTCTTTGTCACATTAGTTGAGATGACATGCAGTAAAAATTGTCCAGTGAGTGTTAAGAACCTATTGAAAGATCTTAGTTTTATAGTGATGTTATTAGGAAAAAGTAAAAACTTGTTTTTACCTTTTTTAAACATTAAAACCAATGTTATGTGCTGATGCAGCATATCTTTAAAGTGCTAAGAAATAAGTTTGAAGCAATAGTAAAGCACTAGAAATTTGATACATTCATAATTCCTAGATTTTGGAACTGTGTTAGTGACCCAAATGAGTCTGAAGCCTCCTTTACTTTAATAAGGGCCTGATTCTTCCTCCCTTACTCACATTGAGTATTACCTTCATGAGCGGTCTTGCTGAGAGCAGAATTAGGCCCAGTGAAGGGAGTATGAGTGGCACTTATATTTCCAAACTATGATAAGCTTTTATTTGGTCTACAGGTATTTGTAAGGTGCCTATCACTATGGTATGTACTGCAGCTTTACCATACATATGTCCGGCTTTTCAGTAATCTCCCTAGAATTGGTACTGAAGGTTGATTTGATTTTTTTTTTTTAAAGTACTCAAAAGAGTATTTGGGATGTGTATGTTTGCTGTGCCTTAGAGTTGAGGCACATCCCAAAATATTTAAAGCGTTGCAAGAGAATTTGATAACTATGCAATAATTCTCTTTTATGCCTTTTAGAATACATTTGATACTTGGCATTACAGTTCCAAAAGCAAGGAATGATATCAGAGGCTAGGGGCAACTCCTTATTAGTTCTTAATTTCTAAACAAAATATATTTAGCATGAATTAAAGGTAGTTTTATTTAGGCTTTTCATTTCACTTTGGTTTAACTGTCTGGTTAAAACAGGTATTTTACTGGCTTTGCTAAAATATCTGATTTCACTGCTAAATTTTAGTGGCATATTTTTAATCATGTTTCAAAGTGGGCCTGCAGCACACTAATTCTTGTGTGGTCTTCTAAAATTGGAAATAAAATGCAAACACTTCACTAAAATACTTAAAAGCTACAGCCAACTTAGTGCCTGGAAAAATCTGGTTTTGCCTACTGTATCTGAGTTCCAAAATAATCAAAGATCTGATACAAATTACAGTGGAGTTGTTCAGACATATAATGATTGATACTTTGTTTGAGGACAGAGCTGATGGATTTATTGAACCAGAAGACTTCAGTGCAGTGATAATACCTGTTTTAATAGTACTGAAGGTCTAATTTAGACTGTTTGTTTTATGGATTTGCTTTATTTTTTTATTTGTCAGTTCACACTGTTTTCGCTCTACAACATGGCTCAATGCATCTTTAAACACCTTGCCCACATGAAAAATTCCTCCCAAGCATGTTACAAGCCTAACTATTTCAGAGGTGCTGAGCGCCCACAGTTCAAGCGGATGTTGACTGGAGCTGCCAGTGGTCAACGTGTCTGAAAATCATGCTCTGTAAATATGACAGGGGCTGACTATGGGATGTGCTGATATCTGCAACTCTCACTGGCCACAGTCAGAGTTAGTAGGTGCTTAGCATCCCTCAGAACCAGACCCATAATGCGTTAATTAAAGAAACCGGTTTAGGCCCCTTGTTCAGATCTTGTGCCCTAATGGGGCCACTGGGGATCGCCCTGGCAGGGTGGAATCCCTGAGTCTCACAAAGCTGGATTAGCCAAATCTATGAAAGCTCCTTGTGAAGCCCCCCCAGTCAATCCTCAGATGCACACTTAGAGTGTGAATAGGTGTGGGCAAGACTGAAGTCCATATTCTTCAAAGAAAAGGAGTGGTTGCAGAAGATCTTTAATTACTACTTTCTCATTGGGAAGTAGAGGAATATAAATGGGGATTCTGATTTTTTTGCTTAAACCAAAAAAATACTGGCTGTAATTTTAAAAATCTATTTTTAAAAATTAACTATTGAAAAGAAAAACCCAGAATATGGCTCGGTCCCAAGCAGGGCTTTCAACCGATTTCACGTCTGCTGTAAATTCTTGGATGTACCTCTTCCTGTCCAGGCTTTCCTCTGCAGTAGCTCATTGCAGAAGCATGTTAAGCAGCTCTCTTTGTCATAGTTGCATACAGTGTGTGCGCTAGCAATAAAGGGGGAGCTGTTCTTTTTAAAAAAAGAAAGTAGTTTTGGCTTTGGGGATTTATTTCATTGCTAATGAAACAACTGGTCTGTGCTCAAATTGGTGCAGTCACAATTCGTATTAATCTACCAAAATGACTTTTCCCAAGGATTTTAAAGCAAATGAGTATTAGAAACCAGAATTGCTAACTATAATTGCATTAGTTAATCCATTCTAATAAAAACCAAAAAACCCAGCTCCGAGCATGCTGTTCAACCCCACAAGGGATAAAGGAAGGGGGGAAGGCAGAGGAGGACCTGTCTTGCACTCCACTGCACTTTGTGTAGTTAATTTATATCTGTGTAAAATGGCACCACCAAGGCAATTGGTGGATTGTGATTTACTAGCATTCCCAGCTGCACCAGTATGGATTACTACACAGAGCGCCAGGCAGGGCAGAATCAGGTCTGGAGCATATCTGCTCTCTTGTCAGAGGCCCTTTCAACAAATAGAGTGGCACTGAAGAGCTCAGAAGGGAGTCTTGTCCTACACAGCTAGAAAAATACTGGATGCAACATTGGCCTATTGGCAGGAGGAGGGAAATGGTCGGATCATAAGGACTCTGACAAGGACCTGGGACTAGGAAGGAGATATAAAATGTCTCTTCTTTCAAAGCATACACCCAACTCTCATTAGCATTACTGACTTACTCACGTGCATCTACAGGAGGAAAGCTCTGCCATGGGATTTATCCTCACTGTTGCCCATTTACATTGTAGCTAGGTGATAACGTCCCATAGCTAAAGCTGAGGTACTGGAATAGAAAATATATTTGCCACAGATCCAAAGAGCAGCCATTCCCCCACACCCCGGCACCTGTTTATCACATTTGCACTCTTTGCATGAAGCCATGTTGTTGCACAGAACACCTTTATCTCCCCCCTCCCATGCATGTTTTTTTCCCCCCACTGTCCATTATTTTCATAGCTTTAGTTGAAACTTAAATCTAGTTACTGAGTAATTTAGAGCACACATGTTTGACAGTTAAAACCATTGTTCTGTTATAAATGCAGCAAACACTGCTGGACAGTCTTAAATCTTCTCTCTCTTTACGTGATGTTTGTAGCGACCCTGCTGAACGCTGGGACCACTGCAACAGTGGCCCTGCTGCGAGATGGTATTGAACTGGTTGTGGCCAGTGTTGGGGACAGTCGTGCACTGTTGTGTCGAAAGGGAAAGGCCATAAAACTCACCATTGATCATACTCCAGAAAGGAAGGACGAGAAGGAAAGGTACAGCTCAGTTATGCTAATAACATCACTTGGGACAGCCTTGTTCAAACTCTCTTGGTTAATTTTGTTCTGAGTAAAAGGGAACCAAACTAAATAAATAAGGCCAGCTGGTGTAAATCAGTGGAGCTCCTTTGAGGTTAGTGGCACTAAGTAGATTTACTGGGTCTGGTGATCTGGCCCATAGCGCTTTACATCTTGAAGCTCATCCTCACGACATTCCTCTCTATCTAGAGATGGGTACAAAACTGAGGCTGGAAGGTTAAGTGACTTGTCCAAGGACACAGAGGTAGAGCCAAGATTAGAACTCATGTGCTTATGTTCCCCATCCAGTACTCAGCCTCCTAAACCATATCCCCTCCTGGAAGTCCCTCAGAACAGAAATCTGACTCTGAATGTCTCTGGGTTGGGACTCCATACCCTCCCCATCCCTCTGCATGGTATAATCCAAGATAAAGGCACTGGCAGGAATTTTACACCTTTTATTGTTGGTCTGACCCTTTATTTCATATTTTCCTTCTTCTATTTTGTGTTTTGGACAGGATAAAGAAATGTGGTGGCTTTATAGCCTGGAACAGTCTGGGGCAGCCCCATGTGAATGGTAGACTTGCAATGACGCGGAGTATAGGCGATTTGGATCTTAAAAACAGTGGAGTGACAGCAGAGCCAGAAACTAAAAGGGTTCAGGTAAGAGGGGATTAATAGGGGACATTGAACCTGAGCGTTTGGATCCTGTGGTGTGCACAGCGTGTGTGTCTAGCAATCAGAATGCCTTTGGGACCTTGAGTCTGACTGTGGGCCGAGTTCTGATCTCATTTATGCTGTAGTCAGGGGGGTCATTCCAGATTGACACTGAACAGCATCTGGCCCCAGTAATAAATGTTGACATGGATAAATGTCGATCTTAAATAGCATGGTTTAGTGTGTGTCGGGGGGTGGGGTGGGAGGAGAGGGAATAAAACATGACAGCCATCTGTTAACTGTAATGAGTGTTTGTTGTGTTTTGTTGAAACTAGGTATTTGCTGAAAGGAAAATGTCACCTCAGCAGTGGGGTTGACATGTTGATTTGCACAGCTTGGTCCAGAATTTAAATAATTTTTAAGAATAGCAAACGTATGTATTTTGCACACCTGTGAGGGGGAAATACAGGAGATGTATAAGTGACATTTTATTGGGGCTCCACAGTTCAACAAATGAGGAAAAATGAATTAGCATCTCAAAATCAATTAAACATGGCTCTCAGTTTCTGCCCCCTCCCCCCCAGCCACCACTTCCCACCCTCACCTAAACTTAATCTTCTCAGTATCTCCTCCCTCACCTCCACGTGGGAAAAGAGTCAGCAGCTGAGGGGGTCCTATTTGAGGTGGACCAATATAGATAGTGTTCTCAGGGCAGTTGCCAGAGGGAGGACAGAGCACACTTCCCTATTAGGCAGGAGGCCAGACTAGATGATCATAATGGTCCTTTCTTGCCTTAAAATCTGTAATAACTTGAGATTGTTCATTGGTAACTGGGTAATACACCGATCTGCCAGGCTTTTGGCCTCAATTTATTGAGCCCAAGACAGGGTTCTTACCAAGAATTAGAAGCACCTTCAAGTGATTTACTCGTGATGTTTGGAATACGGCTATCTTGATTCTCTCGTATGCCAGTGCTTTAAAGCAATGTGGTGAAATAGTAAAGAGCTTTGGTGCTGTTGGTATCACCAATGTAGAAAATGGAGGAACACGCAGCAACAACAGGAAAAGTCTGTTGTAACAAAGAAAAAAAGTAGAGCTGTTCTGCCCTGCAATGATTTATTTATAAGACCATTTATATTGTGCTGTCTGATTACAGTTGCATCATGCAAGTGATAGCTTCCTGGTCCTTACTACAGATGGCATTAACTTCATGGTGAACAGTCAAGAGATATGTGACTTTATTAACCAGTGCCATGATCCCCCTGAAGCAGCCCATGTTGTGACTGAGCAGGTAATGTTTGGCTTTGTGCTGAACTAGTGCTCTGTTGATGATGCAGGGATAATGCAGGTTAGCAGGGAATAGACTGTGTAAAGCCGAATATGCTCAGACTGACAGATCTATTGCAGTGCATAAATGATATTATGGCAGCAAATTGGCACCAATTGAAGTGGGATTCAGTATTCAAGAAATGAGGTTTGTTTTGTTTTTTCCAAACACAGGCTAAAGTTGAGGGCACTGTTCCCTCTAAACGGTGTGCGTGCACACACAGATCCTAAACCCCGCGCACACAGCAAAACACTACGTGCACAAAAACTTGCACAGAAGCACAACAATTTGCACAGAAGAAATTTTTTGCGCACACAGCCTGTCAAAAATTAGAGGGAACATAGGTTGGAGGCAACACTTGGGGTTCCGGGCATCACCGCACCTGAGGGATGAGAGCCCCTGGCAGAATTGCTTCAATGAATCCACCAGGAGCTGGGAGGAGACAGGTGCTGGAGACCGAGGGTCTCTTGGATCTGTGGGGCTGGATACTCTCCTTCCTTTGTAAAGCATTTCAATCTCACAGATAAGTATTATTATGCTAAAGTACTATTTATCTCTTCTAATGATTTATTTCTCTTCTCAGGCTATACAGTATGGTACTGAAGATAACAGCACTGCTGTCATAGTACCATTTGGCGCATGGGGAAAATACAAAAACTCTGAGGTCAGCTTCTCATTCAGCCGCAGCTTTGCCTCGAGTGGAAGGTGGGCGTGAGGACCTGCTGGAATCAGATTTTCTGTGCAATAACCTGTATGCCGCATGCTACAGGAGAACACATCTTGCCCATTTATTTTTCTCCTAATATTGTACAAAATAGTAAGCTTCCTGCTTTCTGGGTAACAAACCCTCATCACGTACATGTCCCATTTTAATTGGTTTCAGATAGGTGTTCATTTTGCTGACTTTTTTTTGTTTTGAATCCCAGAAGATGATGGGTAGTCCTGTGCAGATGGACTAGGTGCAGGGCAGTATTCAATACAGGTTTTGTTCTGACTGATTTATCTAGTCCTCTGTGAAAGATTGATACGCTGGATAGACTGAGTTCTGTGCTCCCCTCTGTGCACAACACACAGGGGAGGGGAGCAAACACGTAATCATGAGGAGACGAAAGGTGCCTGTTTTGTCTTCCACTGTGTCACAGCCACCAAGAAGTCCCTCGGTGCTTCAGGAGAATCATGTGAAAAATAGTGGCATGGCTAGAGAGGATTCAGGAATAGGCTAGTCTATACAGCAAGTCCCTGTGACACAATAGTGTAAGTTTAGCCCAAAAGTCCTGTGTAAATTAATGCTGCTAAGCAGAACAATACCTTGACCTCCACACTCTGCAAGTTGAAGTATGTGTGCTGGCCAGGAGCCAAAGATGCGTGGCAGCCAAGGCAGATACCCTGCCACTGGGGGCAGAGGGGATTCCCTACAATGGCCTGGAGTCTGTGAGGTCTCTGCTGTCCTACATCTCTGACCAATTTGTTATTTGGAGGCCACGTTGCAGTCCTCTGTGCAGACCCCTGGCACAATTTCACTGAGAAAAACATGAAGCTGGTCTACAGGGGTTCAAAAAGCTGCATATTTTTCAAATTAAGAGGCACTGTGAACTTGAATTCCATTTTTTAATTATTTAATTTCTAACTATTCCATTTTCTAGTAGAGCTCCCTGGAAACAATGCAACAGGAATGTTTTAATTCGTTAAAAAAAATGAGTCAGGGCTTTTGTACTCTCCAGAAAAGCCGGTTGCTAGTTGACTGTGCACAGGATGCCATCAGGTGCACAAAGTAAACTGGAAAAAGGGGAGTGTCATGGGGCGCAACACTCACCGCTGAATTGGCGCCTTTCCTGGTCACTCTGGGGATTAGCTCGAGGATGACATCCCTGTCTGTGGTTTGCACCCCGTCACTCTGTCCTGTTTCTGCTGGCGGTCTCTCCAGGAGCTGCCATGTCCTCTTCATGACTTGGTCCTCCGGCCATGTCACTGCCTGTGTTTCCCCCTTCTGGGAGCCAGTACCTCACAGTCCATTCATCCCCCCCATTTCCATCAGTGGCAAATGTGGGGGACCCAGGCCCATCTACTACTCCAGGTCCCAACCCAGGGACTCTGTAGTTGGCAGCCACATGCTGCGTCCCCTCTGACTGTTCAGTACATTTCCCTGAGCCACTGCCCTGCAGCCCCAGCACCTTAGAATCATAGAATATCAGGGTTGGAAGGGACCTCAAGAGGTCATCTAGTCCAACCCCCTGCTCAAAGCAGGACCAATCCCCAATTTTTGCCCCAGATCCCAAATGGCCCCCTCAAGGATTGAACTCACAACCCTGGGGTTAGCAGGCCAATGCTCAAACCACTGAGCTATCCCTCCTTCTTCACCTTTACTTCAGGGCCCCTGCTACTCAGTCCCAACAGCCAGCTGGGAGCTCCCTCACTCCGGTCCCTGCCAGCAGCTGCCCTATCAATGGTGCTAACTTCTCTTTTAGCTGCTAGGAACTCAGTCCTTACCCCTGGAGCTCCAGGCCATGACTGCCCAAATCTGGGCCCCGCAGCTTCTTTTACATGAGCCTGCTGAGCCCGGATTGGTTGCTCCCTGCAACCCCTCTAGGATTGGCTGCAGTCCGCGCAGCCACTTTAGGTTGCTCAGAGGACTCCCCTCCACTGCTCCCTCCTGGGGTTAACGCCTTTCATGCCAGTGTGGGTTAGATACCCCACCACAGGAAGAAATATCCTTTTTTTGTTTTTAACTAATTTTTTTAGCTTTGGGCATTGCTTGTAACAACAGTAGCTGCCAGATTTTCAGACAGAAATATGATTTATTTTTTTCAAGTTGACAGCATCTCTTTCTTTTTTCCTCTTCCATTTTTTTTTAATGTGGAAGGGGGAATATGGGAGTCGGTGTCAAATTAGGCACAAAGGGCCAGATTCTGTTGATTTCTGTGAACGGCCCTGTTCTGGCCAGCTAAAGATCCATCCGAGAGCACCCAATTCTGTGCTCACTTACTCCGTTGTAAATCAGCTGCACAACTCTCCTGACCTCAACAGAGTTACACTCGCTAGACACCAGTGTAGGTAAAGTCAGGAAGAGAGAAATTGGAATCGAGTTCTCATTAGTTTTGCCATCATATTTTTCACATTGGACCTGCTCCTGGCAAGAAAGATTTTAAAATGAAATAAATCACCAGAGGGAAAATTCTGCTGAGCTGCCTTGTCAAACACTTATTATACTGTGAATCTTAACCTCTGTTACTTTAACCCTTCCTGTGCCCAGGCTCACACCTTGTACAGCCATTCCAGATGTTTCTCTTTGCATATATTTAAAGATGCATGGGCACCCTTTAGGCAACTATGCTTAATATTGTCCTGAAGTGCTTTGCATACAGAAAGTGTCCTGCTTGTCTCATTACTCAGTGTATTATATGGTGTAAACAATATTTATATTGCTTTTATAAGTAGAGTTTATGAAACAATATTTGTAAATATATATTATATATATCCAATGCTATTGCATAGCTCACTGGAATGGGTGTATATTCGTGTTTCACAATTATAATCCTTCCCTTCCCCCCAGCTCCCATTTCTGAGGGTTTGGAGTAAGATTTTTGCTTTGGGTTAAGGGTTTGTGTCCGAAGTCCTGGGCCCAGCCCTGCTTCCCCTGAGTTGCCATTAGTGGGAGTCAGAACAGGTTCTCAGTCTGGAACAAATTGGTTCCCCAATAAACTTGGTTTGGGTCTGTATTTGGTGTTGACAAAACACTTCTTCCCTTGAGCATTTTGGGTGAACTGGCCCCGCTGAAGTGAGTGGGAGTTTTGTCATTGCCTTCAGTGGGGCCATTTTTCCACTCTGCGTCTTTGTGCACTTCTGGGACTCAGCGGTTTATTTCCTAACTTTAAACGTGTAGGCCTGAGAGCAAGACTTTCAAAGTGGCTATTGCATGTATAGAGAAACTAACCACAGGACTCCTGCTGAAGTCATTTGATGCGTATCATAGATCCATAAAACACAGATAGGCCCCATCATTCTATGGGTACTACAATAGCCTCAACTCATAGTGTATGTTCTGAGGACTGCTTTGTGAATGCGTGCCACTAATAATAAAGTGGTGAGAAGAGAACAAAGCGCTGCAGTGTGCAGTACTATGAGACTTTCTCCTGTGACAACTGTAGCCTTGGTAACGATACAAATCCAATGATTTCCACTTAATCCCTAGTGAATGTTTGACCACAAGACAAAACCATCCTTGCCTTGGTACAAGTAGCAGTTTGTTTTCAGGTGAGGCCTGGGAGTGGAGCAGCTGGGGTGGTGGCGTAGGCAACAAATGATAGATGTACATTAACAGAACTGTATGGGAACAGTTTTGCAGAAGGTCCATCAACATTTTGCCTCGCTCCAACTGGTGCTTAATCCCTCCCTTTCCTGTAGTCCATTAGCCACGTATCCGGTCTGAAAGCACCTCAGAGACATAGGCTTTTAGTAGCACATGTTCCAATTTATTTCGTTCTGGTTTTTGTTAGTTTTTCAATGTGCTCAAATTGGGGTAGTGTTTGCCACCTTCTGAGCTGCACCCCTCTATCGAGTGGCTGGTAGGTAATGAATAATACTGTACGTAGAGCGTCTTTGCGTCAGTTAATAGGCTGAGTAACTCAACGAGTGGCTTGAAGATGGGGTTTAAGTATGACCCATAACAATATTTGAACTGGAATGTGAGTTTAGGTTCCTTAGGGTTTTGCTGCATCACTGTCCTATAGCCTGTCACCTAGTTTTATAGTGAATTGGAGATTTTTCAGTCTATTGGCTGGCTGTCCTCATTGAGAAAGAATTCATTAATAATTTCCTATCATGTTAGGACGGAGATAAAGCTCTACAAAATGTGTGGTGTAGAGGGGCTCCCATTAACCTTTCTCACCATGTCTCAAAGGGACATTCAGAGGCACCCCATTTAAAACTGATAGAAGGAAATACTTTTTAACACCATGTACAGCCTGTGGAACACCTTGCCACTAGATATCATTGAGCCCTTGGGGGTTACGGGATTTACGGCATATACCACCTCCTATGAGTGAGCAGCTGAGGGGGTTAGGAAAAGCTTTTCTTATTCCATAACTGTCCACTGTGGAGTTTTTTGCTTCTTCCCCTGAAGTGTACAGCTACTATAGGAGTCAAGATACTGGCTGACTGTCCCATTGATCTGATCTGGTATGGCAATGCCTAGCTCCCTAGTAAAGACCAGAGCTGTGGCATTTCCATGTAAGATTGTAGCCTTTCATGTGGTTCTAATGTGAGTAGTGTACTCAGTACCACATTGATCACATGCTAGGAAAAATACATTATGTTGCATTGTTTGTAGAAGACATCCTGCCTCTCAGGGCTCTTCTTCCTTACACAATCATAGCTACTTGCCCCTCTTCAGAACCACAATCACACTTTTCTCCCACCACAGTCCAGTCAGTGGAATTAAAGGCATTTGTGACAGGGCCTGTTTTTCTCCAATGAGTCAGGCACTACAGATGTTGCTGGGGTCTTGAGTTTGCGTTTTGGCGTTAGACACTGAGTGAGGAAAGAGTAGAATAAAACCACTCCTTTGCCTTTCAGTGTTGTGGCTATTTATGTACCGTTCAGAATTTGGACTTTGAGAACTAGTTAATGAGTTGAATATCATTGTTCGGGCATTGAAGGTGAATTTGGTGGCTTAGACCCTGTCAGAGGGAAGGAAGAGGTGCATTTTGATTGTGTACAGGGATCAAATTAACAGTCTCTTTCTAGCTTTTAGCCAGCTCTCTGCTTACGTGGAATATCAAGGTGTCCAAGTCAGACTCAGGTGTTTCTCTACGTCAAAGAATAATTTTAAAACAATACATTCTAGTCTGTCAGCCTCCTGCTGTCTCTGGCAGCTCCTAACACGTACAAGAGAAACCGGTCTTAAGCCCCAAGGGAACAGCAAAAATCTGTGGCCTAATAGAAAGGATCTTTTAAAATGTAGCAACAAAATTGATCTGAAAATCTGTGCTGCTCTAGTTACAGTGGCCTTTTATGACAGCAGTTGCCTATTGTAAGAGGCTTTTAGTGCTACACTAACTCTATATACCTGAACGTTTTGTGAACTGAATTAAATGGAATCTCTGCTTTTTTACCCCATATGCATCTATTATATCAATGGACAGGAGGTTGCTTTTGTATTACAAACTAAACTGTATCTTAGAGGTGAACTGCAAAGCAAAGGATTGTTTTGCTCTTCACTGGTTTTCTGGGCCCAATTTTGATGCACGTATGCATGTTCAACAGGGCTGAAAGCAACTTCAGTGGAGTAAGGTGCTACTCATTGTGCCTAAGTGTATCACAATGTAGCCGTTAGGATGCAGAAAGACTGTTTCAGTATTTTAAAAATTATACACATAGCAATTTATTTTTACTACGAAGATTAGGAGGGTTCCATTTGCCTCACTCTTCTCTCTTTGCTGGAGGACCTTGGCAAGATCTTTGGAGCAGCTGAGTACTGAAGTCACAAGAGTAATCCTAGCTACAGTTCTTTCTCCTCCAACTAAGTGGAGAATGAAATGCTGATTCTTAGATAGAGATGTGGTGAATTCTCCCTCACTTTCAGTGTTTAAGTCATGTCTGGAGATCTTTATAAAAGATAATGCTCTGGCTCACACAGAAGTTAAGACCTTGATGCAGAAATTGGGTGAAGTTCCATGGTCTGTGAAATACAGGTCAGACTAGTTGATCATAACTATCCTGTCTGACCTTTAAAATGTATGAATCTGTGACTAATCATGGAGTAAAATTTGTGGTCAAAGTAATGGTGGTGGGGAAAACAGCACTGAAGTTGCTGCTTATTATGTGTTTGGGGAAAATGAAGTCTGGGTGAAATCCTAGCCCTAGTGAAGTCAATGGGAAAACTCCCACTCACTTCAGTAGGGTCAGGATTCCACCTTCTGTAGATGGAAATGCTATAATTAAAGGCTTTTGACTTTTCCAGTTAAGACAGAACTAGCAAACAATTTATATTAATAAAACTGAATAAGCTTCGTTCTTCATCTTTGACAAACTGTTTGTTACCATTCGTTAGATAAATATGTAGGTCATTTATCCATGTACTGTATATCCACTGTACAGGTGTGTTCCTTGCTGCTATGCCTCCACACAGAGGCAGCTACAAGGTTTCCTCTTTACCTTTTGTTTTGAGTGCTTGGCAACTTTTCGTGTCATAACTCTATAAATGCAAAAGTGCAATTGTGTTAACTTGTTACCTAGTTTGCCTTGGGACTACTTAGATTCACCATGGTTCAATGTACCTAGTTGGTGTAATCAAAATCTATAATTCATCTACTACTTAGTTTGAAATGAATGTTCTGTTTTTTAACATGTTTTTAACGAAGCAGCTGTACAATGTGAACAGGCTAAATATGAATGCTTGAAGGATCTTTTAATAAAGTTTTTGCGTCAAGAGCTCTTCTATTTTTTCTTCTCCCAACATTTTGTGATCATGGGGGTATTATTCACATTTTTACTATTCTCCCTCATCTTTCCTGGACCTCTCTCCATCAGCTGTGTTGGTGACAACAAGAAAGCTTGGGTTTAATTTTGTCATACCTGATAGTATGTACAGTGTGAAACAGTCTGACTTGCCATCTCATTGTTATATTTGAGGTTGTGCTCTTGAGTGGAAGGCAAGGATTAGGTCCACCTTGGACCAGAAGTCCTGTCTGTTTGCTGGATCAGAAAGGTGGCCCAGAGTCAGTTTAAACTCAGGCTATTTATCCACAAATTCTTTCTCTGTGTGGTGGTCCCTGGAGAATCCAGTTTGAATGAGTATAAGCGCATCTCTTGAGGTGGCTTCAAAAAGGCCGATAACCAGAGGAATTATGTTAGCATCCCCCAAAGTACATACAATGCCACAATCACACATACATAATTGCATTTTTAATACAGTGTATCCCCAAAAGGTATTAACCCTAATTCAATAAGGTTTAACTTTTTTCAGTCAGGTTTATCTTAATTCCATAAGGTTTGCCCAGGACATTGTCAGTCTGTCTTCACCTCTGTCTCCATGAGCCTCTGCTCTCCAGGTAAACACCAATGGGAGTAGCTTCCTAACCAGTTCCCCTGAGGCGTCTCTGTCCTCAGGACCTTCCTCTGGTATGGGGCTTCCTGACTGAGCCCTCATAAGCCTTTATTAGGCTCAGGTGCTCATAAGATCGGCCACACTGGGTCAGACCAATGGTCCATCCAGCACACAGTCTTGGGAGATCTGCAACCTTTGCATCTGGCAGTCAATTTACCATGAAGTTCTATATTTCTAATAATCAAATCCCCCATTACTATTACCTGGCTCTTCCTAGTAACGTGGGTCCCTCCCCATGCGGGCAATGATTACGTGACTTTTGTGTTATGTTCTGTCAGACCAGCCAGTGCTGAGTCATGTCCTTACTCTTCTCTAGGCTGCTTCACTCCTAAGTCTGTGAGCCTCATCACCAGCACTGTCCCACGAGGCTGTGGCCAGCCCAGAATGCACACCTTGAACAGGGTTTGCTTTAAAACTCAGGGTTATTAGTCCTCCTTCCTTCCGACTACTATATGCTTTGGACCAAAATTCCGCCAGACTTACACTCCATGCATCTGCACTGCAATGCCATGGGGCTTGCACTGGGTAAGTCATTTGGCTTTTAATGTAGCAATCATGTTTCTGCACTCAGAATGGCTTGTGAGGCCTTTATTTCTTGCAGAGCGGCCGCTATCTGCCTTTCTGATTGTGGGAGCTCCCTCATTCCCTCAGTTTTACTTGGAGTGGATTTCTAGGTCCTTCCCTGCCCCTCCCTCTTTATACGATTTAATTTTGTCAAGCTATTTCTCCCATCTGTTTCATTCTCTCTTTACTACCAAAGGGAAAGGGGCTCTCAGGGATCCCTTTTCTCCCACCTTCTTTCAGAGGCCCTGCTTCAGAGTAACTATTGCTGGCTGAGGAAGCTGGACATGGCTTCTACCTGAGCATGGCCCTTCATCTGACCAGCAGCCTTCATGATTCTGCAGGGCTCCTACCACTTTCTGCAGTGCTGCCACATGGAATGCAGGACCAGACTGGCTCTTGGTCTTGAAAACTTGGTCTAGGGGGCCAGCAGCACTTTGTGTTTCCACTTGCCTCCACCACTGGGGAGGGGGATTCTCTGCACGCTGCGGGTTTTGTTTGGGGTTGTTTGCCTACTTCACTGAAGCTTTGCAAAAGGGAGGATGTTCTCCCCCCCACCTTTGTTACACAATGTAGTTAAGCTTCAAGTCTTCTAATCTTTTCAACAGGGGCCAGAGATTCTTTCTGCTAAATTAAAAGGCAAAGGGCTTATCAGATAAGGAGCATTATTCCAAAGCTCCTCCGTCTGTAAATTAGTTCTCATGCCAAGAGCATTAGCCTGGCTCAAAACTTTACCAAAGCAGACATTTTGCTTTAACATTCCATGTAGTTTTCAACATGAGCAGTTAACAACTCTAGAGCCCTGTATTTACTGGTTGAAAACCAAACAAATCCCCATGTTGTCTGATGGGGCTGCCTGCCCATGTCACCAGGTGTGCAAAATAAAGGCCAACCCCCATCTCTCTTGACTTCATGGAGAGCAGGATTAGGCCCTGTGATGCGGTTTGGGTGGATGGCGAGGAAGAGGAGTATATATAAAAACCAGACATTCTCCAATTGTATCCAAAAACGCCAGTTAGCCAAATCTTTGCTACTTTCCTGTTCGCTTGGTATTTTTAATTCCCCGAATTAGCTGTTGGTGAAAGATAGGTTGGGGTGAAGGACATTTTTGTGGCCCAGGGTAGGTCTATATTGCAAAGAAAAACCTGTGACACCGAGTCTCAGAGCCCAGAACAATTGACTTGGGTTTGTGGGGCTCAGGCTGCTGGGCTACAAATAGCACTGTACAAGTTCAGGCTCAGGCGAGAGCCTGGGCTCTGAAATCTGGCCTGGTAGGATGGAATCAGAGCCCGAAGAGCTATCTTTAGCCCAGCAGCTCAAACTCAAGTCAGACTCAGAGGAAAACCTGGGACACTCTGTAAAAACTAAGGCACTGGACAGGGACTCAGGAGATTTGGCTTCAGTTCCTTGCTCTGCCACAGACTCGGTGTGACCCTAGGCGAATTACTTGATCTCTCTGGCCCAGCTCCTCAAACGATCTCAGTGGAAGTTAGAAGCCTAAATACCCTTGAGGATCTGGGCCTCAGTTCTTTAGATTCACATCTGTAAATAATACTTCCTTCTTCCCACCCTTTGTCTTGTCTATTTAGATTGGAAGCTCTACAGGGCAGGAACTGTCTCATACTCTGTTTGTACAGTGCCTGGCACAATAGGTCCCAAAATCTCAGTTGGGGTCTCTAGGTGCTACAGTAATACAACTCATCATAAGGCTAAACAGAAAAATGAAATAAAAAAAAACAGAACAGTTCAGTCATTTGTCTGCTCCTGAGGAAAATCCCAAGGGTTTGTCTATACTGTAACCACAAGGGGTGACTACAGCTATGTAGCTACATGCCAGCTAGCTTTAAGTTAGCTTGGGTACCAGAGTAGTGAAGCCACAAAAAAGGGCTTCAATGCAGGCTAGTCACCCAAGTAATTACCCAGGGTTCTGGGTGGGCTTATACAGCCATGCTGCTGTCTGTACTGCTGCAGCTTCACTGGTCTGGGACCCAAGCTAACAGACTAGCTCAGGTATGTCTATACGAGCTGCAGTCACACCCTGTGGTGGCAGCACAGACATGCTTCCTACACACAGTGTAAGGTCTAAGTGGGGACTAGCTGGTTTTTGCTCCGGTGACTCACTAGCACCCAGAATGACTTGGCAGTCTGCAAGGACATTGGATAATGCATCATCCCTTTGTTAGTAATACTTTGCATATTATGCAAAATATTTTAATCCTATAAAAACTCCGCAATTTTCACCCTTGTGAAGACTCAAAGCCAAACATTGACCACCTTTGTAAGGGACAATGTTTTCCGGCACTCTCATAAAGCAGCTACCAAGACAGTCTTGGGAAATTCAGAAAATCTGTTTAGCTTGAATATTGAACTGAATGAGTAAAAATAATCTAATACTAAATGGAAAAATGAAAACTAAATGGAAAAATGAAATTAAAAAGCCCCAAACAGATTATTTGTCCGCTCCTGAGATAAAGACTAAGGGTCTGTCTGTACTGCAGCTCGTATAGACTTACTTGAAGTCTGTTAACATGCAGCTTGTTCTATTTTAGGTAGGGACAAAATTTTCAAGAATGATTAGTCCCCAGTGTGCACCCAACATGCAAGGGTGATGTTTGCTGAAGAGTTGGCCACTTATTCTGCTCCCTAAATGGAAGCTGAGCTCTTTCTAAAAATCTAGCCATTGATCCAGGAGAAAAACTGCAGGAGTCTTCTTCTGGGATGAAGCAGGCTATGGAAAAACCAGAGGTAAAACTGGTGCACTTACAATAATGCATTGTTACATTCCAGGCCTGGTCCCGGACCTCTAGCAAAGCAGCTGGTTTGCTTGTGTGGGCTCAGATGTTGACATAGGAGCTGTGTTGAATTTTGGAACTCACTGTTCTTATTTCTTTCCCCATCCAAAAATGTTATGGGGAAATCAGCCAAAGCGTTTGTTTTTCATAATTGCCTCTTTATTGGACACCTCCACAGCACAGCCAGAAGGGTGTCAGACTAACACAGGCCAACAGCTGATTTGGCACAGGGACTTTAACTATAATTATCTGAATGTCAACACCACTTGGGGTGAGGCTGCTCCTTTCCAACCAAAAGACTTGCTGCGAGCCCTACCCCCTTGCCTTCTGCAAGGTGTTTCTGGCAGCTACTCCGAGTCTTCTCTGGAACCTGTGTATAAAGCAGCACATCCACAAGGAAGTGTGTGTTTTTATTTTGAGGAGGAGTTTGCTACTGATTTGTTTACTAGTCTGCAGCTAAGCCATTTGACCCTTGACTCTAAAGTGAGTTTTAAAAACCCCAGGGTTATTTTACATTTTAATGAAACAAGGATTTTGAAAAATATTATGAGCTGGATTTTCAGAATGGCCAGAGGTAAAAGACGGTTATTCACCTTTGTAACTGTTGTTCTTCGAGATGTGTTGCTCATATCCATTCCAGTTAGGGGTGTGTGCGTGTGCCGCGTGCATGATTGTCGGAAGATTTTTACCCCAGCAACACTCGGTGGGTCGGCTGAGGCACCCCCTGGAGTGGTGCCATCCCAGCCAATCCAGCGCCCCCTCAGTTCCTTCTTGCCAGCTACTCCGACAGAGGGGAAGGAGGGCGGGTTTGGAATGGATATGAGCAACACATCTCGATGAACAACAGTGACAAAGGTGAGTAACCGTCTTTTGTTCTTCGAGTGCTTGCTCATATTGATTCCAATTAGGTGACTCCCAAGCCTTACCTAGGCGGTGGGGTCGGAGAGAGATGTTGCAAGTGAAGGACCGCT